AAAAACGGGGATTTATGGCATGGAAACCTCGGAGTGATGTGAAATCTCAGCACCCAGTCCTGCTGGAATTCCCTCGGGAATTGGCTGCGTTGCTGGAGATCTGGAGCTGGGAATGTTGGCCTGGAAGTTTGGTTTGGTTTTTCCAGCTCTCCCAGGGTTTCCAATCCTTCCCTGCCTGAACTCAGGAGGATTCCCAAAACCCTCTTCCCACTCCTTGGCTGAACAATGGGAGAACTCCTGATTTTCCATCCTGAGGGGCCCCAAATTCCCTTTGTTCTCCCGTGGGTCCATCTGGGGCTGGGAAGGGCTGGGCTCTGCCCACTCCAGGGAATCCTCAGCTTTGCCAAGTGGGAAATTTTCCCTGGGCAGGATAATCCAGACAATCTTTATCCCAGGTGTATAAAAATACCTTGCACTGGGCAGGAGCAGGGATCCATCCAGAGGGAGATGAAGATCCCAAAGGAAGTTTTATAAGGATTTCTATAAATAGAAATAATTCTTTCTAGGGAAAACTCCTGGTAAAGGATCCTTTCCTGCTGGGATATGAAGGAGTTAAAACCTAAATGGAATTTATTTGGTGATGGGGAAGGGAATTAATTCCTCCCCCACTCCCTGGAGTTTTCCAGACTGGATCCATGAAAACTCCAGCATCCTGAGGCTTCCTGTTGCCTTTCCCTTTTCTCCAGTGGCAAAGAGGAAAATCCCTGGATTTGTCCCCCCGTGGCAGCAGCTGTTAAATCAGCCATAAACAGCTTTTCCATGGATTGGGAGCCGTGGGGAGGGATGGTGTTTATGGCCAGTTTGTTTTGGTGGGAAGAACATTGTCCTGATTTATGGGATGTGCTTTGTGCTTTTCCCAATATTCCCACAGAACCAAGTGACGGACACCAACCGGAAGCTGCAGAATGAAGGGAAAGAAGTAAGTGATGGATCCAGTCCTGGAATTACAGCCTGGATTGGGATGGGAGGGAGAATTCCCTATCCACCCTGGCCTTGTATCCTTGGTTTTCCCTTTTACCCATCCCAGGATTTTTCCCTAGAGCCTCAGCGCTGAGAAATCCCTGTTAGGTTTGGGATGTGAGAATTCCCTCCTTGTATCCTTGGTTTTCCCTTTTCCACATCCCCAGGATCTCTCTTGGAGTGTAGACACTGAATAATCCCTGTTAGCTTTGGGGTGTGAGAATTCCCTGTCCAGCCTGGCCTTGTATCCTTGGTTTTCCCCTGTCCCAATCCCAGGATTTTCTCCTGGAGCCTCAGCCCTGACAAATCCCTGTTAACTTTGGGATGAGGAGAATCCCCCGGGAGCAAGAGGTCACATCCTGCCTTTGAGAACGAGAAAACTTGGGAAGAGATGCCTAAAACGGGGAGATAATGATTTGGAACCCTTTGAGAACCATAAAACTTGGGAAGAGATGCCTAAAACGGGGAGATAACGAGTTGGAATCCACAGGATGTGCTTGCTTCGATGCCTTTTCGCTGCTCCCTCTGTTGAAATCCAGGGAATTCGGGGCAGTTCCCCTTGCTGGGAGTTTGGGCTGGACACGGGGGCTGTTGGCTGATCCTGAGGGAGCTTTTCCCGTTTTTCCAGCTGATCCTGGCCATGGAGGAGCTGAGGCAGTGCCGGCTGCAGCAGAGGAACATCTCGGCCACGGTGGATAAGCTCACGCTGTGTCTCCCCGGTGAGCGCCTCCCCTCGCTCCCCACGGCAGCTCCTGGCTGGAATTCCCGGGATTTCCCTTCTTTTTTGGAGCTGTTTGCATTCCCAGAGCTGCCTGCTCCTGTCTCAGAGCTGTGTTTTCCTTCTTTTCCCAGTGCTGGAGATGTACAGCAAGCTGCGGGAGCAGATGAAATCCAAGAGGTAAATTTGGATTTACCATTCAGGGGTTTTACGGGAAGAATCCAAGGAATTCTTTGGTGCTGGATAATTTAAGGAGAACCTCAGTGGTTCAAAGCCAGCCTTTCCAGGTGAAATTCCCGGGTTTTGGCTGCTTTTCCTGCCCAGCCTCCTGTGGTACAGCTGAGGATTGGGATGGCAGCAGGTTCCAGTTTTGGGAATTAAGGTTTTTTATGGAATTCCTTGTTTTTTTATGGAAACTGAATTTGGTGCAACCAACGCATGTGACCGACTGAATTTTATTCCATGACCACCGCAACGTGTCTGAGACATTCCAGGGATTCCAGGGAATGTGGGGGGAACATTCCAGGTTGAAGTTGGGGAGAAAACTTCTTTTGCTGTAGAAATAATTCCTGACCTCGTGCTGCCTCGGGAATGCCGGGCTGCAAATCCAGGAATTTCCTCACCCTGCACCTGCTGGGATGCTGAGGGATGAAAATCCGGGATTTTGGCAGGAATCCTGGTTGGTGTGAGCAGCACGGAGCAGTTTTGGAGCCCTGGGGGTGCCAAACCGGGCACGGAGCAGCTGCTGGAAGGGGCTGGAAAAGCAATCCCAGCCCTGCTCTGGGATTCCCAGGAGCTCCTGGCTCTTCCCGGGGCACTCCAGGGTAGGGATGGGCTCTCCAAATGTCCCAGGGCTGGTTTTGATCCGCTGGCAGATGTGGGGTGGGAGCTGGAGCTGATCCCTGGGAATTCCTGCAGGGAATCCACAGCTGCTCCACGGCCTCCCTCTGGACAGCTTTTCCAGGGATGCAGCTGAGAACTGCATCCCTTCTTTCCCTCCCATTTTTGGATTGGTTCATTTAGGAACAAATCCATGCTGAAAGCCACATTTAAGGAATATTGGGACCCTTGGCTGTTTTTTTTCCCATTTTTTTTTTGGGTCTGGATTTGATGTCTGCAGACACAGCACAAGATATTCCATGGTTTTTGTCTGCTCCAGGTCTCACTTGGATCATTCCAGGATGGGCAGCCAGGGGCTGGATCCTGACATCAGGGCTGGGTTTGGGATTGGTTTGGTTTCTTTGGGGAATAGACTCCCCAGGCAGGAGGAGTCTGGGGATGTTTCCAAACCAGATCAGGCATTTCCCAAATGGAGAATCCATGGCCAGGAGCTGATCCCAGAGGAATGATCAGGGTGGACATTGAGGATTTCTCTGCCAGAATTTAAGGAAGGGGCAGGAAAGCTTTTCTTCCACGGCTGAGGTGTGTGGAAAATGGTGGGAAACTCCAAGATTTCTGGTTCCAGGGATCCCTGCAGGGCTCTGGAGACCTTTTTGTTTTCCCCTGGCTCTGAGTGAGAAATGGGACCAGGAAATCCTGGAATGGTTTGGGCTGGAGGAGATCCCAAAGGGCACCACCTGCACCCCTGCACATCCCAGGTGGATCCAGCCTGGATTCCCAGGGATCCAGGGGCAGCTACGGGAAATCTGGGAATTGCAGCCCAGGCAGGAATTCCTTGCCAAGATCCCAGCCCAATCTCCCCTTTCCCAGTGGAAGCCATTCCCTGGCTCCTGTCCCTCTCCAGCTCTCCTGGATGCTCCATGAGAAATGAATTCACTGGGAATGTTGATCCTGCTCGGGCTGAGGAATCCCCAGCAGGATCTGGAAAATCACCCCAAAAAAGGTTTTGATCCAAATCCTGCATTTCCTGGGGATGTGGAGCTGGGACAGAGCTGAGCTCCCCTCTGGGAGCTGCTCCAGGGCTTTGTGGCAGGAGTGGGAGCCGGGAATTCCCTGGAGCACCGACCCCAGCGGGTGCTTCTCCCGCTGGATCCATCCCTGAGCATTCCCAGCTTCTCTCCAGAGGGTTGGATTTCGGCACAAATGGTTCCCATCGTTGTTGGGAAAGAATTCCCAGGAGTTGAGGCAGGAATTATTCCAAGTGGGAATACAAATGTCAGCCTTTTCCAGTGGCCTTCGTTTGTTCCTTGTGGCCAAAGACTGTTTCTCCTCTGGAATTCCAGCTGGAAGTGCCCAGGATTTATCCATGGATGTGTCAGCTAAAATTCCCTGAAGTCCCCCTCAGAGTGACTGACATGAGATTTATTGATCATGAATCTGTTTATTTTATTATCTAATACATAATATACATTAATTGTAATAATTATTAGAATATAAAGACATAATTATTGTATTTTAAATACATAATAATATATACTTATATATACAAATATAAATATTCTTATAAAACACATATAATTCATTGATAAAATATATAATATAATAATTTATTTTATATTATAATTTAATTATAATTTAATTTCTATATTTATAAATTATATTTTATTTATTATATATATACTTTATATATAAATTATATATATTTGTATATAAATATATATTTCTAAACCTATATTAACTTAATAAATAAATTAATATTATGTAATATATATATAAAGTATAAAATATAATATATTATTATAATAATATATAAATCTACAATAGATATAATCATAGAAATAATAGTAATAATAATACATAAATCTACAATAGGTAGAAATAATAGAAATATTAGTAATAGAAGTATTAATATTAATAATATATAATAGAAATAATAATAATAATAGTAATAATAGTAACAATAATATAATATAATATAATATAATAGTAATAATAATAATAGTATCAACAACCCTATTTATTATATATATTTTTATTATGTTATTAAACCCTCTTAATTCTTCCTGGGTGGTTCCTTTTTAATTATTTTTGCCTCTTGACCAGAGCTGTGCTTGAATTTTAGGTGGTTCCATATTCCAGCAAATCCTATGGATCCCCACTTCCCACAGGGAAAAGGTGGGAGGGCATTTGGGAGATACAGAATTCCAAGCTCCATTTCCCATTTGGCATCCGAAATTTGCTTTTATGCAGGAAAGGAGGATCAGATTGGATCGGGCACGGCCGAAGATGAGCAGGGATTCTTTATCCATGCATTCATAAATGTACAAAATGTAAAAAATAATGATTTTAGGATGGGGAAAGGGAGTTGTTGGGACATGGAGGAGCTTGGAATGAAATGGATCTGCTGGGATTTGGATCCAGTTTTTAAATGGGTGGGAATTGCTTGTGGTGGGGTTTAGGAGGGGGAAAATGGGATTGGATCCTGGAATCCCCAGGGAAAGGGAGCTGAGCTTGCTCCTCCAGGGCCTTTGCAGGGTCTGTGGCTGTTAATTAATTAATTAGCTAACGACTCAGGCACTGCTCATCACTCTGTGGGATTCACGGGACATTCCCAGCTCCGGGATTTCCTCAGGAGTTTTCACCCCGGGCCGCTGGAAGCGTCCCGTGGATGGGACGGGCTCGGAGGCGCCGGCTCGGCGTTCCCGGCCGATCCGCGTCCTGGGAACGCCGCTGAGCTCCCGCTGTCAGCGCTCAGGAACACACAGAATCACAGAATGATTGTATGGAGGTGCTTTATTGAAGAGCTCCGGGTGTCAGGGGTACACAGACCCAAATCTGACCCGATTTGGTTTTGAGCTGAACGTATTTTATACTCTATCATTATACAACTTACATATGAATTATTAAACTTACACTGTTCTATTGTATGCATTGTTTTTACCCAAGCATGGATTTCTCGTGATCCCCCCTCAACCCCCTAACATTGTTCCTCATGTTATAATTATTAATTATATCTAATTATATTAATTATATCTAATCACATCTAACAATTATATCATTTATCATATATTGATTACACAGGTACAGTTTGACCTGATCTTTAGCAAGATTTCTAACATTTCTCAGGGCCTGCTTTTCCCAGGGCTTTCCAAACCCAACTTTCTTTCTAAGTCTCCGAATTTTCTAAGATTTTAGATTTTAGAACCTTTTACTATCCCGCAGGCACTACCCAGCCCTGAAAACCCTGGAGCACCTGGAGCACACCTTCCTGCCCCAGGTGAGCCACTACCGCTTCTGCAAGGTGATGCTGGACAACATCCCGCGCCTGCGCCAGGAGATCAAGGAGCTCTCCATGTCCGACCTCAAGGACTTCCTGGAGAGCATCCGCAAGCACTCGGACAAGATCGGAGAGACCGCCATGAAACAGGTGGGAATCGGCGGGATCCGGCGGGAACCGCCCGTTTTTTGGGAAGAGGTTCCCTCCTTTCCCTGGAAGTTCTGCTTTTCCAAGCCGAGGCGGGGGGTTGAGTTTGGAATTCTGTTAGCGGGTGAGGAATGGTTGTTCCTTCCCTGGTTGCTCGCGGAGTTTTATCCTGGATTTTAGGCTGTTGGGAAGTGAGGATCCCATGTGTGGTTGGGTTCTCCCAGCTGGAGTTTTCCTTGGTTTCTTGGCAGTCTGGGAGGTGCAGGTGGGGGTGTAACTCCCCAAAATTCCCGTTTTCCACTCGTATTTTCCACTTCCCTGCACAGGGAGTTGGTGCTGCTGGGACACCCGGAGACAACTGGGTTCTTTCCCTGGTTTTGGGATAACGGAGTTAGAGTTTGAGCACTGCAATTCCATTAATTTCACCTCCTAAACTGATTTTAAATCCCCGCCAAACCTGCCTTGTGCCTCCCTTGCCTTTCCCTTTCCCGCTGGATGTGTCTGGGAGGGATGAGCTGATGAACTGAACATCCCTGGATGTGCCTTAAATCGGGAATTGCCTTTCCCACTCTCACTGAACATTGGGATTTCAGAGCTCGGAGGGGCTCTGGAGCTGCTCTCCAGGAGGGTTTGTTCCAGTGAGGTGTTCCTGCCGTGGCACTGAGATCCTTCCCCGCTGGAGATGGATCTTGGGAATGCTGGAATTCTCCAGGAGCTGGTGGGATTCTGCTGTTGGGTTTATGGGCAGAGCCAAATTCAGTTTTTGTCTTTCAAATTCAATTTTGTGTCTTTGAATTCAATTTCAAATTCAGCTTTGTGTCTTACAAACCCCAGCTTTCCTCTGAAACAGCCCAGCTTGAGGAGTTTGTGAATTAATTTAATTCCCTGGAGTTCAGCGCCTTTTTACCTTTCCCAGCTCCTTCCTGGTTTCCTGGGAAAGCAAATCCAGCCTTCCCTCGTGGATTGGAGCTGTGGGGAGGGGCACCTGAGAGTTCAGCACGCTTTTTATTCACATTAAACTTCCTGAAGGTGCAGAAACCCCTCCTGGTCCAGATGTGCATCCAGATGTGCAGGGGAGGGCTCCAGGCGCTGGATTTACCTGAGGCAGCGATTCCTACAGCAGAATTCCCTACAGGAATTCTCCTTCAGCTCCTTGTGGAGGCAGAGCTTTGGGAAGAACCTTCCTCGGTCCCTGTGGCTGGGGAGGAGCAGGAATTCCATTTCTTGGTGGTGTCTTTAATGCAGGGAACAGTTTCTGGAATTATTTGCTCTTTTTTATCCCCTGAAGGATTTTTATCCATTTGAGGGGTAAATCCTCCGTCACAGGCTGGAGGTGTGAGGTGGTTTCCAGTTCCATGTTCAGGATTCCGGGAGAGGATTCCAATCTGCTGGCTCTGTGCTGATGGATGAGGAGGGATGTGGGCATCCAGCCACGTCTGTGGGTTTTAGGTGAAAAATTTGGAGAAATTCACGTTGTTTCAGCACCTTTTTGCTCTTCTGGTTGGGGAAGCTTCTGTACCTTTGTTTCCATCCCTTCCCAATCCACAGCGCTTCTCTTCCCGTCCTTCCCATCCCTCCTGCTCCTGGGGCTCCGTTCCTTCTCTACCTCTCGCTCCCAGGGGATCCCGTGGATTCTTCTGGTGTTTCCTCACCAGTTCCAACCCTTCCTCCTCCTCCCGGTATTCCCAGCTGGAGAACCCGGGCGGGCTCTGGGGTGGTGGAGATCGGCTGCTCCTGCTCAAATTCAGGGATGGGGGCGGCGAGTGGGAGCAGCCTGGAATGGGGGAACACTAAAATTCCCTGGAAATAACGGGGGGAAGTCAGTTCTTCATCCTGTGGCGGGGACAGAGCTGGGGAGCAACTCCTGCGTGGTTTGCGTGGAATCATGGAATGGTTTGGGATGGGAGGGACCTGAAAGTTCATCTCATCCCCACCCTGCCATGGGCAGGGGCAGCTCCCAATGTCCCAGGAGGATCCAGCCTGGCCTTGGGCACTGCCAGGGATCCAGGGGCAGCCCCAGCAAATCTGGGAATTGCAGCCCAGGCAGGAATTCCTTACCAAGATCCCAGCCCAATCTCCCCTTTCCCAGTGGAAGCCATTCCCTGGCTCCTGTCCCTCTCCAGCTCTCCTGGAGCCCCTTGTGTGTCATTTTCCTACGGATGGTAAAAGGAATTTTGCATCTTCTAGCTCCTCCAAATCCCAATTCCCACTGTTCTGTGGGATTGATGTTTCCTGTGCCCTTTGTGGGGGCAGAGTTCTCTCCAGGGTGGAGTCTGTGCGTGCCACTTCCCCTTGGAAAAAGCGATTTGGAGCGATCCTGAAATTGGAGCAAGGTTCATCCTGGGATGGGAAGGAGGAGCTTTGGAGCTTTGGAGCTGTCGCTGTGGGGGTCCCTTGGGGCTGGGTGTCCCCCCCAGTGTCCCTGGGTGTTTTCCCTGGATGTTCTGGCCGGGATGTGGATCCGAGCTCCGGGAAGGAGCGGAGCTGGCAGGAAGCTCCTGGAGCCCGGCAGCGGCGATCGGCAGCTCCGTCCGTTCGCTTGAAACCAGGATCACATCAACTCCTCTCAAATTGTTGGATTTCACCAGCGGGAACAGGAGAGGAAATGGGGTTTTTGTAACATCCCAAATGTGACGAGGGCTGAACGTTTCATTTTGTGCTCCTCACGAGGATCCCGGGATTTGGGATGGGCTCGGTGAGGCATTCCCGGGATCTCACAGCCAAGGAATCCTCACACTCCCACCGAGGAGCTCTCCCTGCTCTCCTGGGTTTTATCCCAACCTGAGTTTTATTATCCCCTGAAATTCCGGGGGAATTCGGTGCGTTCCAGATCCCATTGTTAATTCCAGGGGCCTGGAGCTGATGGAAGGAGCTGTGTGTGCTTGGCCCTGTGAACCTCTGTGTGTGTATCTGGGCTTTGGGGAGGTTTTCCAGGCTGGAATTCCATCCCGTTAACACGGGCTGATATCCGGCTGCTCTCCGTTATCCCGGCCGGAATGTGCCGCTGGGAATGAGTGAGGGGCCAAAAACATCGCGGCCAGAAGGCAGCCGTGGGTCCAGGGCTGGGCACAGCCAGAGCTGTCAGCCCTGCCTTTCCAGAGGGGCAGGAAAAGCAGGAGTTATTTATGGGAATCACCGGGATCTGCAGCGGCACAGCTGGGCTGGGGTGGGTGGGGATCCGGGCTTGGACAGGCTGATCCAGGATGGATTGGGACAGGCTGATCCAATGGGAATTGGGACAGGCTGATCCAGTGGGAATTGGGACAGGCTGATCCAGGATTTATTGATGGAGATTCCAGGGATTCTTGTGGAGCACAGCGGGTGGACAGCAGGCAGCTTCAGGATGGGGTGAGTTCAGGAGCAGCCGAGGGTGTGGGATCCAGGCTGTGGGAATGGGGCAGGAGGAGGGAATGGGGAATGGGAAGGGAATGAAGAATGGGGAATGGGAAGGGAATGAGGGAATGGGGAATGGGGAATGGGAAGAGAATGAGGGGTGGGAGGGGAATGAAGGGATAGGAAGGGAATGAGGAATGGGAAGGGCAGCAGAGCCCTCGGGCTGTGGAAGTTTCCCAGCACAAACGCCTTGTCCAGGAGCTGCTGCTCTGATCCCATCCCAAAGCTCCAGGTGAGGGCGATTCCCGGCCTCCAGTGGGAGAATCTCCCATCCTGGGCAGGGATCCCATCCATCCCTGGAGACCTGAGGCAGCTCCAGCAGCGGCTCCACAGCCCAGCCCGTCCCCTCGGGCAGCAGGCTCACGGAGCAGTTTCCTGGGAATGCTGGGGATCAGTGGGACGTGGCACGAGGTGATTCCAGCATTGCTGGGAATTCCTGGCCTTCCCTGGGTCCTGTTTAAACACAACCACATTTCCCCCCCTCCAGAGGCAGCGCTTCCCAGGGGACACAGGGACATTTCCCAGTCCCCAGCCCCTGCCCGGTGGCCTTTGGATGTCTCCAAAGGCGCGCTCTGGGTCACCTTCCCAATTATCCTCCTCATCCCTGAGTTCTGCGGGCTCTGGGGGATGCTGGAACCCTTCTGCTCCGTGGGCATCGTTTGGGCTCAGCTGGATCCCGGTGCCTCTCCCGGGCAGGGAATGTCCCCGTGCCGTCCCCGCTCCGGCAGCATTCCGCCTTTTCCAGAGGTCACGGAGCCCTGGCTGGGGTTTGTCCCCTGCCACGTGGGCTGGCTGTGCCCGTGCCAAGGCTGGGAGCCTCTGGAAGCTCCTGCTCGGCGGGGGCCGGGATTTATCCTGCCCCAGGACTTCCAGAGGCGCCCTCGGAGCTGGACTTCCCGCTGCTTCCAGCTCCCGTTCCGGGGGTTTGCCTTAACAAGTCAAAATAAGGCCGGTTATTAAAAAATGGGAGTTTTCCAGGCTTGGATGCAGCAGGAGAGCCTCTGGAAAGGTCGCTGTGGTGGCTGGGGAGGATTTCCACGGCGGGGTGGGGATAATGGGATGGGGGTTTCTGCTCCTGGGCAGGTTTGGGAAGCAGGAATTTGATTTTCCAGCTGAATTTAGGAACGAGACCTTCTTAATCTTCGCTCCTGCTGCTCGTCTGCCTGGGATATTAAAGTCTTAGGGGAGGAAATGCATCCTTGGGGCTGTAGAGATGGGAAGGGACTTGGGCTTGCAGGATTTTGGGAAGAGGCTCCCACAACCCACGGGATGCTGTGTCCCACGGGAGAAGGGATGGATGGGAGAGGTGCCCTGGTTTCCAGACTCCCAGAATTTCTGTTCGCAGCCATCCCCTTCCTGCTGGCAAGGAGGAGCCGGACAAGCAGCGGGAATTCTGCCGGGCTCTGCCCTCAGCATCCTCAGTTTAACCTCTTGGAGAAGCTCCTCGAGGAAAACGGGGAGGAGATTCTGTGTTTTGCGCCGGATGAAAGCCTCAGCCGGCTCTGGAAGGCTCCGCTATTTTTTCATGGAGCTTTGGCCCTGAAATGTGTTATTTTAAGAGCTCTGAGCAGCCCTCTCCGGGCAGGGGCTCCATCGCTTGCCGCTGCTGT